ATCACATACAGTCTTTAATATGTTTCATTTTCTCTGTAACAGAAGTCATCTAATTGCTGAAAATTCTTCCCAGATCATAGTATACACCTTGAGTATATATCCATCTAACAAAATAAAATCTCTTATTTAATTAATCAACTTTTTAAAATATGTGTGAAACAACCTTTGTGCCACCACAGATATTCTTCTCTGTTGTTCTATTTACCCTGAGGAGGGATGATTTCATAGAAAATCACAACTGATCATCATAGAATTTGGCTCCCATTGTGAAGCCATCATACTGAATGAAGCACAGGAAGAAAAATATCTGTGCAAACAGTGTGATTTACTTTGCTTTTCGCTTTGAATCTGTAATAAATAAACACCAAGACTAGTGAGGTACACAAAATCATGAAACACAAATTTCAAAATTATTTGCATCCAAATCACTGAAACAGACATTCAGTTTTAATTTTATCATACTGCTGTTATATTTTTCTTTAAACAGCAATACCTGCATCAAATGTAAAAGCACTGAATAGCTTCATATGTTGTACTCTTACTACAAATCTTCCAGTTCTGGTGTATCATTGCATTGTGATCATCATGTTAGATAATATGGGATCAGCCACATAGGAAAGTATAAAACCATAATAATTATAACAGCCAACATTTACTAATCTTAAAACCATACATCCATTGCAAAAGCACAAACTGGACTAATCTCATAACATTTCTACTGTCAAATTTGTAATGATTCAGCACAGTTTTTCCTTCAAAAGTTAGAGACTTCCTCAGCTCATCAAGAAGTGTGTTGCTTTCATAAGAGTCAAAGTTTCATCATCATATCCACAAAGCCTTTCTTGAACACCACTGGAATCCAGCCCCCTTTACACCCTATTCTCCAAAAATTCTAATATTAACCTCCAATCTATGAATCAGTCTCCCAAAAAGAGTTTTTCTACCAAACGCTTATATTCAAATATCACTTCCCTCACGTGTACTACGTGCTTGCCCATCTCCTTCCCCTTTAACATTTTTCACAACAATCATTACTTCCATATTTAATCAGCATATTATGTATTATCACTAAAAATGAACATGTATGCTTTATTACAAAAAGATATTCTGGAGTGTTCTTTCAGGAAAAATTAGTCATGATGAATATTTAACTTCAAGCCCCAACATTAAAAAATATGGTTTAATAGTACAAAGAGTTTTAAAATGTCTGAATAATGGAAACTAACAAGATCAGCCCACCTGTGCTACTTCAGGTAACCACAACATCAAATAAATTCTTAACAACTATACAGCAACATAATAAACATACTTATACAATGCAACAGAATCAAGTTGCAACAAACTTCCAAGTTTCGAGATACAGAAAAACAATGTACATCATAAGGAAAAGAATAAGTACACATAACAAATCAGGATAATTTCACAAGAACACCAATGTACATAAAGTTTGTCATCCTGATAGTTTATACACAGCAACACTTCTCTTCATGATACTGCTGTTAGAAAAATAATCGACTAAAATTCTATTATCTTCCTAAACATGTGCACTTTCTGCCAGCAAAATAAGCGTTATTACTAATGAAGCATACACTGTTAAAATTGTTTTAAATTACAAGTCATGCTAACATTAATGGAATGACCGGATGCAATAAAGTTTTCTTGGACAATTAACCACATAAGTATGCCATTACAGCCCAGTGTTTCCCAGACTGCATCTGCCTCCATCACCTGGGTTGGATTTTAAATCCATACTTACATGGCTGACCGCTTGAGAAGAATTCCCTGCATCTACTGCAAGTTACATTTACTTTTAGTTTTATACATGTATGTTAATATGACTTGAGTAAGAGTTCTGACACAAAAGTGATAAAGGAACTTGTCTGAAACTGTAAGGCTTCTCATTTAAAATACATAATGGCTTCTCAGATTCAATGTTTCAGTCAGGAATGGTGGAACACTGATAATTTTTTTAATACAGTGTAACCAATTCCATAAGAATAAGATCTTGATATGTTGGTCATGGCTGAAGCATCCACAGCCAACTGACATTCCAGGATTAGTTCATGTCTCGTGGAAGTTCCTAGCAGTGTCATCTTAGATTAATCACTTCCCAACTTAGATTAACAATCTTCAATTTGTTTCAATTGATAACAATTAGTATTTTGAAAATACTTTTTTAAAAGTGTATACTTAATTTGTAATAATTGTACATTCTGTCAACATTTTTCACATAACACACTGTCACCACATAGTACGAGCAACTTAAATCGTTAAAAATAATTTGTACTTTTGTAATGATGAGTCTATCCACCCAAAGTAGCGCTGTGATCTACTGCTTGTCTCAGAGTTCATGGTGTGACTTAGTAGAAAGTGTAATACAATCACTCTGTGCACTCACAATGCACTTGCAAAGTCACTTTCTCATATAAGCATATTAGTTTTCAAGCATTCTTTGGTACCACACACACATACAAAATAAGTTGTGGTACAATGAAATTATAATATTAATAATTAAGAATGAGATAACTCAATACAAAACAAGCTGAGCTGAAAATCAAACCCAGGACCTCCCAAATATTAAGCATTACCTGGTTCTTGAGTTATCTGACATTCTTAAAACTATACTCGTAATAAAGCATCAAATGTTGGGATGAATGGAAAACAATGCATTATAAGAACTGTGGAAACAAGCAGTCACGATCTGTTATAAGATACTACCCCAGCATATACCTGGAGGGACTGAGGAAAGTCATGAAAAACCTCAATCAGCATAACCCACCTCCATGTCAAGAATTATATTCAGGACCTTCCAATCACAAAGCAGGAGTGCTAAATGTTCAACCACAACAAAACATAACACTGGGTACAATTATGAAAAACTGTAGTAGTCCTGCACACACATACCTCTTCATAATCGACAGCAAGCAATGAAAACAGGTCATCATAACTGTGCTAGCAATCCAAACTCTGCTAAACTTACAGTTCCATACAATCTCACATCATTTAAGTAGACTCCAGCACTATGATAAACTGACACTCTGAAATTGCAAATCTGCCAGAAACAAGTCCTACGAGGATTCACTGACCACTTCACCACTGGTTGTGCTGTTCTGTTGAATTGGGTGAAGCAAACAGCAACTGAGCTTGCTGCTGTGATAGTTGGAAGGGAATCACTTCTTCTGTTGCAGTATGTGCTTCAAAGTTAACCTAAAGGAGTTGTCAGAAAGGAACATTAAAAGGAATATCAAAGTAATTCACTTTGTATTCAATGTGGATATATTTTTTTTATTGTTCTGTCTGACGACAGGTCCATATGAACAGGATCCTTCCATCCTTTTCTGGGACTGGGACCTGTTCATATATGTTCTTGGCAGATGATCCAGAAGTGGTTTGCCATTGCCTTCTTCTGTGTGTGAACGGAGTAATTGTTGGGATGCCACGGAGAAACCGGGGAAGCCCCCGGAGAAAAACTCCGTGTTGCCTAGACCACGGCCTTGCCCAACACAAGTTATAAATTCGGGCACCGCCGGGAATCGAACCTGAGACCCCAGGATTACAAGGCCAGCGTTCTAACCGCTAGACCACCGTGGCTTAATGTGGATATTACAATACATTATTATAACCTGTTAACTACTTATCTACAGAGTCCCCATGAAGACTGAGACATAATACTGCAGGATAAGATTTTCAATCCACATCTAACAGAAGTCAATGGCCTATTCTTCCAACCACTGTTTCATGTGGAAACAGCAGGGTCATCATTTTTTGGTTTCCAGATGTTGCTTCAGCCCTGGTAACATAGGATGCAACATCTGGAAGGCTAGGATTTAAAACTAATGAGAACTAATGACAGCACAAAAATTATGACTGATACATCAGTACACTTACTTTTCTTCAGAAGGGATATGAAAGCTCATTCTAGGCATCAAAAGTATCTTATTTCTTGTGGGGACTATGTGGAAATATATTTCAGTTATTTACCCTTGGATTAAGGTCACTGTCTACAACTAATTTATTTTTAATTTCCTGCACATGTGCATATTCTTATTTGGAGTTACTCATTTTGGTTTCAATCAACTTTAATATTGTTACAATGCAACACCAACACAACGTGAATTTACAGAAACTGGAAAAGTGCTCATTCTTAGTGGGTACTTCCAATATTAAAAAGTGATTATAATATGTAATCTACAAATCTGTCTACTTTTAACTACAAATATCCCAATACAGAACAAGTTACAAAGAATAATAAATGCAGGAAGTGCAATATTTATTTTTACGAAGGGCTTATCATGGGGAGACAGCTTCAGAAACATAACTGCAAGTACAGTTAATGCAACAAGTTATTAACCTAATTAGGAATCACTTGCTATAATGAAGGTGCCAGAAAAAAATCACCAGTTTTATGTAACATTTTCTGTGCATGCAATGTTAATAAATCGACTATCAATTATTCTGCTTGCTATAATGAAGTTCCCATTACGGGTAAGAGAAAAAAATGTAAGTTTTATTTAAAAGAAACCAATTCACTTTACCTGGTGTGATTCTATCATAATAGACGTGGTTTGGACAGGAGGATGAGAGGCAACACTGGTAACTGCCGGGGAAGAGTGTTCTTGCACTGACATTTCTGACAACACAGTGGTAACAGGTACTGAAACGGATGTCCCTGGCTGTATTTGATAATGCTGATGCGTAGAACCGAGTGTGGATGTGATGCTGCTGATTGCTGGACCTGCAGCTACTGTATAAGGCAGAGTCACATTGAACTGAACTGGTGGCAACAGCCCATACCGAGCCATAAGAAGCTGCTCTGACACTCGCTGCAGTTCCTCTTGCTGCTGCACTATGAGCCGCTGTAATTCTTCATGCTTCCTCTGCAGCTGCTCCTGGATCTGACTCTGTGATGATGTTAACACAACAGGCTGACCAACAAGCTACAGCAATAAGCAGACAAATAAATAAAAGACACGATCTGCATGACGACACATCACCTGAACTATAACCACCTCTCCTCATTTAAAGCAATTGAATGCATACTGTTTACTATTCATATAATTTTGTTCTGTAGTGTATTTCTCAGAATTTGACATTCTATTACAATCAGATCTCATTAAATTACAGTAAATACTGAGCAGACTGGAAAATATTTGAAACTTCAGCTGTAGCTTCTAATTTGATAAACACTCTTTATACAATATTCTGTGATATAATCTATTGTTATGGACACAATCTTCATATTCAAGAGTACATTTCATGAACACTAACACAAAAATTACAGCTCTGTGATTTACTGGCATTTTCTGAAAAATATTTTTACATGTGGCAAAAATCCAGTAAATTATGCAAATACATTCTGTTGTGTAAGGGTGGCAGGTCAAAACCTTTACCTGCAAATTAAATGGCTGTTGAAATCATGATGCACAGAACTTTCTACAGAGTACTAAGACATATACAACAGGCATAAAATTCTAGACAAGACCTGAAAGTACAATCATTTTAGAAAGTACACCAATGGTTTATGGTCTTCCTTGAAAAGTCAAGATCAGTTAGATGATCAAGAAATTCACACTTTTATTGCACCTGAACATTCATTACCATAACGGCCCTACCCTGAGAGAAATGAACTCAGTCTGCACCATTTCCCCAAGATACATTTTTATATTAACCTCCCATTATGTCTCCATCTCCCAGTCTCTTATTTTGATATGATGGAAAGACCAATACTGAGCACAAAAAGAAAAGACGCATATAAAAGGAACACTAAAGGAAGAAAACAGAAAAATTGAGATTCTGTCATAAGATGATCCACTCTGGTATAAACATCAATAGATGATGAAGAAATATATTTAAACATTATAACAGAGAAAGTGTAGGACCCATAAAAAAATTAAGTCTTGGATATCAGCAGATTAATTGGTAAGAGCACAAAAGACAAACCTCAGATGGAGGTGGAAGAGATGTTACAATAGCTCCTGGAAAGCCTGCAGCTGCAAGTACAGGCTGGACAGGAACTGGAACTGCCACATACTGCGGCTGTGGAGCCAAAAACGTTCTTTGAGCAGTAGGCGGCCCCACCTGCTGTGACTGACTCGCTGTCAGTACAGGCTTGTTAAGAACAGGTGCCACCACACTAGTTCTTGATTGCTGAAACAATGCACACTCCTCTGCAAGATCAGTAATATAAAACAGAACATACTGTTAAGTACATGCAAAACATAACAAAATACTATATGGATGTTAAAAGACCATGAATAACATCTCGGAATAATCTTCCTACCATAAATACTTTCTGAGATCACAGTGTAGAAACCAAAGAGCTCTAGAATAAACAGAACAACACGCATAAAAATATTCATATTGCACATTTTACTCACTGTACTGTGCTGTGTGAGCTGGGAATGGCGAGAGTTTGGGGAGTCCGCAGATATGGAAGTAGAATCTGACCCAGCGCCATGATGAACTGAGTGTTGTGTTTGTGCTTTGGCTCCATTTCCATCTTGTGGAGAACATACTTCTGCTAACCGTGATATTTTACCAGCTGTTTCAATGCAAACATACATCACTCACAATTTATAAATATAATGTAAACAATTCTAAATACTGAGTCATATCACATGCAATGTTATGAAATTACAGGCCTTGCTGCACAGACTTCAGAGAGCACTTTCCACTCTCATTCCGATGGCATTTGATAATGCTTACAATGACAAATTTCCATATACTATATGTACGATTCTGACACACCTGATGACTTGGATGACCATGGACTCGAAGCAAGACCACTTTGAGATGCTTGTTTTGATGACCGTTGATGCTTGGTATAAGGTGACTGTCCACTAATCGTGTTGTCCTGACTGTTATCTTGGCTCCTTGGTTCTGATGCATCTTCTGGTGCCTTTTGCAATTGCTTCATCACGTCCGCATAGCTGACAGCCCCATACAAAAACGTGAGTACACAGAAGCAAACAGAACAAAAACTAATTTTAAAACAGTAATTTCTGTTGTCACAAAATATGAATTTTAACCATGACATTAAAACCAAAGATTACTCTCTACATAAGAAAGTCCACAAAGATTTTAATATGACGACACTAGAAATAGTAAAAATGGAAAATAAAACAAAGGCAAATGCATGGCACAAAAAGATGTCTTACAGAAATAATATGTAACAACGATGTCCATAAATAACAAACTACATATTACAGAATATGCTCTGAAAAGTTGACAGTTGCTCAGCTGTCAAGAAATTTCCCACATTTATAGAACCCTTGTTCAAAAGACCCTATCCAGTTACAGTACAATCTGCTGCGCACCTCAGATCACATTTTCCAAAGATCCATTTAATAAATATATGATTAAAAGTAGAAATTTCATTACAAGTCTGTTATATAATAGGTAAGTTCTGCTGTGTTATACATCCTGACAAGAGTGAAAAGGTTTACTCTAATTTGGAACACACATATTTTCCAGGCATGTTCTTTGTGACTTTGCATATCACACTGACCCTACGTTCATAAATCTACTATTGTGAAGTCCACCTCAGAATACATCTTCCTTTGTGTCTCCTTAAATACAGAATTTGTTAAAAATGTTTCAAACAGAATTTGTAAATCTTAACAATGTCTATAGTTATGTTTTATACAGTTCACAGCTTTTATTCGGCTACCTAAAAATGTAAAGATTAAAACATACAGAACTGAAATATTACCTCCTGTTTTGTAAAAGTGTGGAATTTGGTTCCCCAATGACAGAAAAACCTACATTAAGGACGTTTGAGAACATAGTGCTGAGGAGAAAATTTGGACTCAAGAAGGATAAAAGAACATGATGCTACAGGAAACCGCATGAGTAGCTTCATACTTTGTACTCTTCACCAATTATCAGAATGATCATATGAGGGAAAGTGAGACAGAGTTAGGAACTTAGCAAGTATTAAACATAAGAAATGCATAAAAGTAGGATTTGAAGTTTTCACAGCAGTGAGTCTGAAGATGACTGTCTTCTGGGTTGTTGCGCCATGTAGTCTGGTTGAAGTTTACCAATGCTTTAGAGACTACCCCGAAGACAGCCATCTTCCTGCATAAAAAGTTTTGGTTCGGAAACACAAAACGAACAGACCGGTTGGAATACATAGGCATAAATGGGAGGATAAAATTATAATGGACATTAAGGAAATAGGGTGGTATACTAAGGGTTACCATATGAATGAAAATCAGCAAATTGTACTGCAAACACAACAAAAAAATTTCAAAATTCACTGAGAAGTTTTCAATATAAATACTGATGAACACATGACCCTCCACAGTTTTCTACAGAACAATTACTTCATCCACTTCATGCAGAGGACATTTAAAAGTTATTTTAGCTTTAATTCCTTGGTACCTTTCTTTAAGTGACAAACTGCATGGTCTTGAAACCATATTTAAGTCGTGAAAATGGCAGACTCATTCAGAAAAGATCAACTCAGCTGAACCCCCAATATTTCATGTAATGCGTATAAACGAAAATTTGAAGCAGAATAACATTTTATGTGTAAAGACCGGGATTTGAGAGAGTAAATAATTTTCAAGAATCTGCACTCAAATTCAGGAAACATGGTGAGAAATTAAGAAACATAACAAATGTGTTGATGCAATTAATACTATCTGTTCCAAGTTCGATTGTATTGCATTATGTCACAATGACTGTACCAAGTTTTTCAGGTTTAAGAGTTTATAACATTAGCAGATAATTAATTATACTCTATAAGTCAGAAACCACTAAAGAGTGAATAAATATAGTACACAGCACAGCAAAAACATACCAACATCATGCACACTTCACTTTCACAAACAACCCTACCTAACAACTCGATGTGTACACACAATAAATTCGGGTTTGGAATTCCATTGATGGTATGTGATGTAGAATCTTGTCTGCAACCAGATCCACTGCTGGCCCTTTGTAAGGAACCGATAATGGCAAGACGTCCCCTCTCCCTTCTGCATCACTGAAAGTGAAGGTCATCAACTTTTTCCTGAATTAGGACAATTCATTTTACCTCATCTCCTACAGACCACCTACTACTTACATCAAAAATGACACCCACATTTCTTCAATTAACCATAACCATATTTAATGCATTCTTCTGTGGTGTCTAAACTGAATGTATTTACCACACGATCTACATTTCAATGACTTAATAGTCTATGATACATGTGTACCTTACAGATGCAATTCAGCAACAACTACCATCATCAGTGTTTTAAATATACTACTAATTATGCAACCCTCTCAGTTCATTATGTCTCCAGCGTTTTATTATCATAATACAAGGTTCTTATGTAAACACTAGTTTTCATTCCCTGTAATTTACAAGTTATTTTGATAAAACCCCGTTCATTTTTACATTTTACACATTTAAATTCCTATGGGGCCACACCTTTTAAATGTAACTAAAACTCATTACACTTTAAAACATAAATTGAAAATGGTGTTTCACTTGCACCAGTCATTCTTCTTTAGATGAATATCTTCTACAGGCTACTATACTTTTGGTATTTTCATTCACAAATGTAAAACCTACCAATTGGAGTATGCCATTAAATTCGTAAGTAATCCTTCTGGTTACATTTTTGCACTATACACTTTGTGCAATTATGACAAAAAAGAATAGCAATACTGCTACAATCATTGTATGTATATTGTCAAGGTAATATTTTCTTTGAACATAGTTTAGTTCAGAAAGATGTACAATGTCAGATACTGTCTTCAGGTAAAGGAAAAGACTACTGACACTGTAGGAACCATTGGATACAGCTGGACCGTACTGCTAGACAAAGAGGCACATAAGAGGAGGACTACAAACAGCTATTATCCAACAGTTCTCACAGAACAGGTACCGTCCACATAAGAGACACAGCCAACCTCAGAAACATCATACAACTTTCTGATCCAGAAAATGAGCAATGTCCAAAGAAAACATTGTCATATCCAACTTACTCTTTCTTATACCTACTTTACAGAAGTTCTTAAATATAATTCAGCTTCTAATTAAGGAAAGCTATCCTGCAAATAAAATATGCGACGACATTTTCTAAAGCAGGTATGTCTTTAAGCCTTTATTTTGTAAGTGCTCACTACTTTGTCTACTACTCAATTTGCAAATAGTGTAAAGCGGAGAAAATCTGTTAGCTATGAGTTCAGTACTTACAGGCTTCATGACATGTGACCACTTTCTCCAGGTCATCTACATGATAATAATCATATCCAGATGTTCCAAGAACTTCAAAAGGCAGATAACCAATAATCGGTGGAGCTCTACAAAAGAATTGTTTTGATAAAATACCTTCCCAAAAAACAAGTAGCAGGGCACCTATGATACATAATTTCCTTCAAATGCGTGTCTATATGGCGAGTTCGGCAAAAAATTATAAACAAATAATTACACAACTTGGTAAACCATCTCTTTGCATAATTTCTAATAGTACAGACTGTAACCAACTAAACTATAATAACACAATAAAGCAGAGTCCTTCTTGAGAAGCTTACTCAGAAACCGAAGAAATGATAGTCTCTCGTTAAAACAGTAATTAGCCTTTGAGTACCATAAAAGGTTGGGAATTTATTGGCTAGCTGAATGTATTTTTCATTCCTCAGGAATGACTGCTCAATGGAACTTGAACAGTTAATTAGTTAACTAGATATAAAATACATAAATCATTAATTTCTACTACTTTACTAAAATATTTTTAACTATCATGAATATTTAACAAACTGAAATGAAAAATTATTTCCATGTGCAGCGTGGAATCTCGGATGCAATAACCCTCCTAACAACAGACATGTATTGTGAAATGAAAAATTATTTCCACGTGCAGCGTGGAATCTCGGATGCTATAACCCTCCTAACAACAGACATGTATTTACAATACATGAACATCAAGCAAAGTCAGAAGTAACAAAGTACATATTTGGAAAATATGTTTCCTCCATTCAACGCAGCCATTTCATTTCTGTCTTATAAACAAGCAGTAAAAAAGAGAGAATGTCCTAAAACTTTCATACCTGTGGTCCAGAAACAGGAACTTCCATTCCAGACTATGTCGTGAAGTAAATTCACTTTTTGTGGAGTCAACTACTGACATTTCACTTATCAACAAGGGCAGGTGAAGTCTGCCTGTACCCACAAATACCAACCTAAAAGAAATACCATATTCTAAAATGGGAGAAGTAGTTTCAAGAAAACTAACACTTTGAAAACTAATTTAACTTTCTAATGTCACATACATACCGAGAATCTGCTTCACAAGAGAAACTGCTAAAACTGTTGCTATTAGAAACAAAGTTATCCACTTCGGGAGTTTCCACATCAGAACCTGAAACCAATCACTCTCTATTACAACACCAATGGACAGGAACTATTACATTTAATACCCATCAGTAACTGAAAACAGTTGATTTCTTCCAAGAAATTGAGAATGAGGGTGCAGACTAGATTCAGCTGCTCAGGAACAGGGTCCAGCACCAGGCACTTGTCAACATGGTACAGAGACTTCTTATTCCTGACCAGCTGTGACCAATACCTTCTTAAGCAGGAATCTGCTCCACAATGTTAGTTAAATAACTGGTTTCAGTTGGTGACAACGGTAATAATTGCAGAAGCATAAATAATATAATACAAATGATAATAACAATAGCAACACATACCAAAATATCCAACCTGTACAGGCAGTTAATATAATTCCAATGATTTCATCCCAAGTATTTTTAAATGTAAATATGAAAGGAGTTGCAGCCAGATTCATTTAAAAATTCATAAAATCTAATTAAAGGAAAGTTAAAACTAGCCTTTCCATCATATCCCTTGATAATCCAAGTCCCTCTTTTCTTTGTTTTCGTAATCTGGGAATAGTCTTGGGATACAGGAATTTTCTATCCATTGATATACATTCTCTTCATAAACCATTATCAGTACCTTTCTTATATCATTTTTACCTTATTTAAAATCAAGTAGTTATTATCCAGCCCCTACTGCTGCTCTTACATACAGTGGAAATGATGATTTTGATAACAGTAATAACAATAATAATGTATAAAACAGAATAAGATGCAATGTCATCACAGTTGATGACACAGCCAGCTGAATACCATTAAATAGGTGTTGTAATAGAAATAATTTCTGCTATTGTACTAATCCAACCTAATACAGAAGAATATAATCCAAACCCTGTACTATGACAATCACCAACTTACGAAAATATCCAACAAACTGAACTAATTCAAATATGTCCTCTTCCTGGAAGCTGACACCGCCTCGTTTTAAATGGCAAGTGAAAGAGACACGATTATCTGCAATAAAAATTATATGTTAATGTTTTCCGTCATAACTACTTCTTATTTTTTGTACAGAAGATCAAACACCTGCATTCCAAGAAGAGTATACTTCTGTCTGCTTCATGGCTGCAGTTACATTACTAAATATTCACTGCAGAAATCAGAATACAACAGTTACGGTTTATCAGAAATCTGATTAAGTGAATAAAACACACAATTCAATTAAACATAAATCTTTAAAATTAAAAATTAAATTAAATCCGTGGCGTAACAGCTCCAGAGAGCCAAAGCCGACTAGCTTGACTGCTGGCCTCAGGTTCACATGCCTAAGCAGAGGTGAACAACCATCCAACCAGATATAGGGTGACATGTGGTCAGCACGACGAACCCCCAGCCATTGCTAGTTTTCCTGACCGGATTACGCTACACATTGTAGCTCACCAATTTCCTCACGATGCTGGGTTGGCACCGGTCCCATACTCTGGTCAAAAGCTCATGAGAAAATTTCTTCTCCCCTGAGACTCAAACCAGCGCGCATTCTGTATCACCGGTCCGAAGCATGATACCTCAGACCGCGCGGCTACGGCGCGGGACACATAAATCTTTAGATTTAGAAAATATACAAAAGTTCACTGACCTCCATATACAAAATTTACACTTGACAGCACTCATATAAGTGCCATACATAAAGTTTCAACAAAATCTGTCATATGATTTAAAAAGTTCAATTATTCCCTTAAATAAGTTGGATTTCAAAGTAAATAAAAATTAATGAACTTGAACAATTTTTATTAATATAACTACTGCATTTTTAGTTTAATCAAAATCTGTCCAAAGATTCATATGTACATAAAATTTAATTCAGCAGCTCTTAAAATAAATTAATGTAACTAAAACTTACACATGTTAATATTTGTAAACAAATACTGGAATCAGAGTTAAGAAATAACAACAGTGAAAGACTGAAGTATTAGCCACCAATCAAACAATTATTCCAGTATGTAACACCAACCTTTTGTATCACTGTAATGTATAGCATCCACAGTGTTGGCAGGATTGAGCAGAACATTGTACAACTCTGAATGATCATCTTTATAAACCAAATCATACATTGTCATGTTCAGAAGGTCACTCTGTGAAAGGGAAATAATGTGCATTTTCAGACAAGGAAACACATTAGATAAAATTAATAACACCAATCATTATTACCACTTGACCTTCATAGTTACTCTTTTGCAAGAAGAGTAGAAAACTTACTCCAAATTTGGGTACCTTTTTGAAAAAGGAAAGCATTCTTTACATTCTTACATACCTAACTTATCTCTCAATGTTTATTTACTGTTGATGCAAACTTTCTTAACAGTATGAAATATGTAATCTCACTGACTTAAATCTTGATGAGGACATCTCTTCTGGAAAAAACCCTGAACCCCTTTACTTTTAAAACCTTTTTCATTCACCTTCTTATTACTTTTCCAAATCACCATCCCTACTTCAATATAATACTGTACTTATGTAACCTATAGTATTCAGAACCTACTGATTTACATGTCGGTATTTGGCACCTGCCTGGGTGGGTGATAACATCAGTACAGGGGTGAGTTTCCAGTGATCAGAATTGTATTAGGATCACTTACTTTTACATGCATGGGGTGTCTAATTTTGTGATGTCATCAAAGAGGATTCTACATGTGGTTAAGTAGGTGCGGTGTCTGGCTGGAAATTCTCCAAGGTCACTTTTTTATGCAAGTATGTCTGTACTCTTCGTGTAAAATGCCTGTCATTGCTGTCTGATTTTAACCAGAACTTGAGTTAGTTAGTTAGTTTGTTTGTTTGTTTGTCTGTTTGTGCACTTAGAGCCACATCAGCATATAAAGCTATTTGTTGTGCCTACCTACCATTTAAGGAAAATTAAACCCAACAGTGTCACAAAAACCAGTATGTTTTACCAGCATGCAAAAGTACACAAAACAGGGCAGATTACTAAAAATAGAAATAATAATAAGAATGCAATGACAGACAAGGTTGTACAGGGGGTCTGCCAGTGGGGTTAGGATTAACACAGCATTGTTACTAAGATACAATGGTATTCTGACAAAACTTCATTTGCCAATTGTAACAGGGAATGGCAGTTTAAATGTACTTAAAACCAAGGAACACTGTAAAATCAATAAAAAATTAACAGTATAACAACAATAACCAAACATGGAAAATGTTGACAAATTTTTAGCAAATTCTCCAATATAAAATTTAATGAAAATCTGTTCACTGGCTCTCAAGGTGTTACGTGTGACAGATGGACACAAGTGGTAAAGCTAGCAATTGAACTCTCATGACTTTGCTATGTACGTGCCTAAAAATGTGTTACCAACATTACAAATGTTATTTAGAAACCTTTCATGAGGACATAGGAAACTACTCCATGATTTATAAAGTACTCACAGGCAAATGACCAAGAAGGCTTGTGATACTCTCCGATGCATAAAATATTTTACCAGAAGAGGAAAATACCATGATGAAGCCATCTAGTGCCTGAAAAGGAAGCATTCAAACATACTGTTATAAAATTTTAAATCAAGATACTTTCTTTCACTCAAAAACCAACATGTACTTTTAATTACTTTTATATGAATTTTGAAACTCAACACTAAAGCCCTTCACCTGCAATAAGAGAGTTATACATACTTCCAAAATCAAATGTGTGAATTCCTCATTTGACAAGAAAGATGGTTTCCAATCCTCTTGAATTTCATGAGCACGTGATCGTACAGCTATTTCTGTTAAGAGAAACATAGATGGGTAAAAAAACATACGCTGGTACTGAAAGTTACTCTGTACCCCACTACTGTTCCAATCTAAGCCGAACTAAGCAAAACTAACATAGCCTGAACAAAACCAAATCTATTTTCTAACAGATGTCCCCTTCATGGTTCAGATCCAATGTTGAGCTCTAAACCTCCTCTGCCAGCCATCATTTTAATTTCAAGTACCATCTTAATATCAGGTGGTAAAAGTGAAAATCTTGCTCCTTATTTAAAATGTTGATTCCCTTGCCAGGCAGAGAGGCCAAGGTACCTGGAGGCAAAAGCCATAGAACAGTAAACAAGAAAAATCAACTATAAGAAATTTTATAAACTAACAAAAGTGCTACTTGCTTATCCAGTTTCAATCACATTCATAGATCTTGAAGTGTTCCAAATTTGTCTCACAGATCACAAATCTTGTAACAAGTGGAAATCTAACAAGATCTCATTACTTACCATTATGGTTTTTTAGGAAAGAGATGGTAGATTTAAGAACTGTAGATTTATCCATTTTGCGACTATTGGTGGACACCATTGAACTCAACTCATTGATCAGCATATTGAACTGGTCACGACGCTTCTTTTCACTCAGGTTCCGAAATTTCCTGATATAAATAAAAACCATAAATATACATTTATAGTAGCATAAGTGCTGTGTGATTAAGATTTCTCACATGATTTGACGAACACCAGGTGTCAAGTAGACTAGGTATGATATGGAAAGTGAAAGCAAAAGTAATCCCAATAATTATAGGAGCAACTGGACCTGTCTCCAAGTTACTCAGAAAATAAGTGGCCAATATCCCGGGTAAATACATCAGGGAACTTCAGAAAACTGTCATTTTGGGATCTTCATACATCATTTGAAAGACGGTGTCATAAAATATATAGTCATCTCTCACAATAAAACTATATAATACATGTAACATTAAAAACAAAATGTATTTCAGAAATAGCTGCTGCACTATGCACCTCAGGGGCAAGGTTTGTCTCGGGTACATAGAGGTAAATACCCAATAAAGTGGTGAATAGATGGAGTAATAATAATGATAATAAAACAAAAAATACTAATATTTGGTTTCTCTATTATTGACACATAAGTGGTTGAAATGAAATGATCTGGAGACGTGAAGCTTCCAATAATGAAAACACATACCGTTTTGTATCATCCTTATCGTCTGTATCATCATCCATTGTATCACTGAAAATCACGAAAGAATATTTCCACCATTAACTATAAAAGGTGTAAAAATTCATAAAAAGTTTTATTTATCGTGCTTTCAAGCGTTACTGGTGTAAGTAAGGCAAAAACTAAAAAAAACATGCATTAATTACAAACTGATTATACAAATGAGGTACTCACTCAGATCTCCTCGTCGAACCTCGCTTGATAAAACTCGACATATTTTGTCATGTTAATCACATTCAATGATTAAACTGTAAAACAGAATATGAAACTCCACCACAAATGGCGAACAGAAATCTAACCATCTGATCATATTCATAAAGTAACTGACTGCGTACACAACACAATTAAATAATCTTCATCCTGATTTTGACAATGGACCGCCCATTATCACGGAATATAAACATTGCACATGATATGACAGGACCAGAAAGGAATGGCTACGTATGAATGCATATTTTGTAACCTACGATAGTGTTAAGAGATAGTCGCAGATTAATAAAACCGTTCCGGATCTCCATCCGTTTTTTAATCGGCTCTATTGGTAATCTGTGGTTACCTCTGAATGCAAACATGTGGTTAGATACGGAATCCGAAGATTCATCACCGAAGAAACCAAAGCCCCCCCACCAATCCCTGTTCTGGTTGAGGTTCTCACAAGCAAGTATGAATATGGTTGTCTTCTGTGTTGTAGTGTCATGTAGTCTGGTAGAAATGTACTGACATTCCAAACGTACTTACTGCCTCCATCAACAGAGCAATGATTAAAAGTAGCTCTTCAAAGAGAAAATTATTTTGTATGCAAATTATCATATAAATTAATCTATAATTATTTGAATTCAGAACTCTTCCCTATTATAATCATCATCATGTAAAAATTCTGTATATGCATTACCATGTAACTTAAATTCTGCATGCTGAAATAAGAATGTCCCAGCTTTTCAAGGTCCCTCCCTACTTATAACAGGAGCTACACAGGATTTCTGAAGAAACACACAATCATAATTTGAGAGGAAAACCATTCTTGAATTCTGAAAAATCTTGAAATATACTACCTTTCATATACATATAAAACTCATGTATATGTTTCCTTAACACAATTACATAGATCAGTAATAGCAAAAGGATCCAAGAAATGTGATTTCAATTGTTTGTTCTGCTGTGTGCTTCTTTCTAAGGAAACCAAATGATGGAAAAGTTAACAATATTTGCAGGTATAAGGCACTCAAAATTCAAACAAACAACATAAATTATGCAGTTCTATTTAATGCTAAAAATTTAATAACATAAATATTTCAGTAATAATCATACTGTTAATATCACAATGCACTTATTTTCAATAATCAGGAAATATCATTCATTCATACAGCACACTTTATTTAAATCATGTGCTTGACCAGTACATAATATAAAAACTTGACACATATGCTCATTATGTAACTTTCATTTTTAATGCACAGGACACCATTAAGCATTCAGATTCACTCTCAGATTCAATGTACTTAAAACTTCAGTAATCTTGAAATGAGACAGCTTCAGTTCACAGACTACTTCATGACACACTAAATGAAAGACATTTCTGAAGTAATATTTCAGTGTATAACTTCAAACGTTGATTTTTCCTGTATTAATAAGACACAAAAAAGCAGTGCTTTATTTCCTTACTGTAGGTTGTTCTGGCACCATATTTCATAACATTCAAAAATAAAAATTAAAACCATTAAAAATATTACTAAATATAAAGGAATAACAGACTCCTAATTAGAAAATCATAAAGTCAAGATAGAGCCACGATGGTAGTAATCACATTTAAAATGTAACAGTACTTTACTCCATATTTCAAAGTTTTATCTCTTTGCCTAACAACCTATAAAGGTTTCTCCACCTTGTAAATACCAGAACCCTTTTTTTAAAGTTTCATAAAGATGAATATTTTTGACCAGCTGAGAAACTATCAGCTTCTGAAGAAGGATTCTTATCTATCAAAAGAATTACCACTTTAGTCACAAACAATAAAAGTTAAACCTTTGAAGCTGAATCTCATGCACATAACATTTAAAGTTTCACTACTTACAACACAGGAAAAACAACATTTGTCCATTACAAAGAACAATTCATTAATGCAGTTCACTTTGAGAATCATATGCAACTCATAAATATATTCTGTAGGTACAATGCAGGGTTACAGATTGTTTCAACAAGTGGTGCACATAGTTACCACTGAGTTTTAATGGGTTAAAGTGCCACAAGTTAAGTGTTGCCGTGAACTAGTCTGAACTCTTCAAGATGTAACAGCCTGTGCCAAATTTTTTGTTGTATTTTGTTTTAATGATTAAAACAATTTTAAATGCAACGTGTAATGGAATTTCATATCAGAAAGTGGACATCACAAATCAATCAATGTCTAAAATAGCTAAGATGGAATCAATGTAAAAATTGGTTTGTACAGTTATTTCTGTGCTTAGCACACTAAAATAAATATCTCTACAGACAGAATTCATTACTTAATAACTGCTGTCTATACTTTTGAATTAATAGCATTTGAATGAATGAACATATTTTCCACAAATTGTTAGAATTTAAATTATTCATCATTTCCATTATTATTATTATTATAAGTGACACACCATAACTGAAAAGAAAAAGTAAATTGCAACATTTCCACACAAAAAAATCAAAAAACACAGACAGCATAAACTATATGGTGTGTTTTTTATTCAAGTTATAATTCATTTTATACTTTAAAACAAAGTAAAGATATATTTTACATCAATAATTCTAGTCATAAATTTATGTGGATACTTTTTTGTCCAAGGTGGATATATTTGAATGAAAATGTTCTGACCACTTGCTTTCACTAAAAATAAACAGCAGTAAGAATAATATCTTAAAATAACATGGTGTGACGACACCTCCCAGATTGACCTGGATTTCCCAAGCAGCCACACATTATTTAAAATGTTAATCTGTGTTTCCACACACATTTATGAGTGTTTCTGTTTCACTGATTGATTTAAAGCAAAGTTCACTTAATTGGTTGTGATTTATTACCTGCAGAAAGAATGGTAAAATGTCTCAAACAAATCTGTATTCTGTTTCCTATGTAGAACGATCAGCCATGGTGATTTTTTCAATTTTTTAAATATAGATGATAGATGTCCTATCAAAGAATCATAACTAAATCTAAGACTGCCACCTCTCTGGTTTTTGATCAGAATCTTCAGGTTTTGATCATATCCGAGGAATCCCTAATTTTCACATTTCTTAAGTTTCATTAGTTGATCGTACAATGTAAATAATTTAGATTTTATAAATTTTTAATGTAGCTGAAGTTTTACATTACCTATTAACTTAGAATAACTTCATATTTATCACGTTAAGTACATAGCACCAACAAATGGCAGATGGATCTGTATAGTACAAACCAACACTAGACATACACTGTATATCAACAATTTCTTTCTCTGGATTTCTGAATGAAATTATCTTAATACTATTTGCTGGTTCAATTTCTAAGAATGAGCCTTTTACAGCAACCAAAATTTATTTTAGAATGTGTGTGTAAAATGTAAACACCACATAAAGACTCCTCAAGATAAATCTTAAAATTTAAAAAAACCTTCGAAGTGGCAACCTCAATTTGTCTGTCAGTGTGAGGTCTGATGAAACAACATCAAGACTGAATACATATCTCATTAAATTTTTGTAAGTACAATATTTCAGGTTTTACAGATTTGGTCTCAATATGTTTTGATCTGGCCTCATATAACATCTTTTCCCATTACAACACATCATTAATGTATAACTTCAGCTTCTAGTAATAAACCACACAGAATGTTGAAGGTTCTCCAACACTCTGAACACACCACAGTTACCATCTTCTGGGCAAATTTCTTTGAAGGGATTCGGAAGCCTTGTATAGACCAGAAAGTAGCCTACATTAAACACCAGCCAAGGACAAAAATAACTAAGACATTTCTTTTATTGTGAGTAAAATACCTGGCATTTTTTATCTATCATTGGCATGTCTATGGGACCTTACTCTAGTTACAGCTTCATTCTTTCCATTCTCTCTTAAATATTATATATATTGCGCAAGCAAGCCAAGTAATATTTCAAAGTATTCTTGTACATTTTGTACCAAAATAGTAATTTGAAGAAGAAGCAAAGAAAAACTACATTCCTTAGGTCATAAATACAGATATTTCAAAGCAAAAATCAAGTGACCACTGCTTCAAATTATTTAACAGATTCCATAATTTCTTTGTGATAAATTCACAGTTTCAAAGTTCTACTTCATTGATAACAATGATAAATAAATCAAAAATGTATATCCTGCTGAGATTTCAGGTTCTAAAAGCGCAAGTATGAAGACCACCGTCTTCTGGGATGTGGGGTCATGAAGACTTCTGACCTGATGGCAGAAGCAGCAGGCACCTCTGAAATGCTTGTCAATTTCTACCAGACTACATGGTGCAACATTCCAGAAGACAGTCATCTTCAATTTATATCCTGTTTGCAAATAATCTCAAGTTCAAATCAAATACCATTATTCACTTATCCGCTTCTTACAAAATGAAAAAGTTCACTGCTGAATACATTACAATATATTACAGAATAAAAAAATCTGTACGTTACTTAAACAAGGGATGTAATAGTGGTAGTTGTAGCAGCAGCAGCAATATAATATACTATAATAATAATATAAATACTAATAATTAATTATTTGCTATTTGGCAAAATAAAAGCTCATAATGTCACACAATAATGGAAAACTTTGTGGAAGTATATGTATGTCTCTATCCATCCCCACAGAGCATCATGATCTACTCTATAATATTCAAACACGTGTTCCTCCTGTGTGCAACACACACAGGACACAGCACACATGCACTTAGTGCAATAAATCTGGGTCCACACATTTCGTTAAATCAAGCTTTTCCATTTACAGAGACATAATGATGAGGTATAACTAACTTCTGTCAGAGGATTTCACTGTCTGGCCAGACTAACACTGAACTGCAAATGAAACAACATTAAATTTGATTGGCACAAGGTCTGCATTGGAGATACAATGCTAATCTAAAGAAGTCGGACTACTAGTAGGAGCCCGGCAATACAGATCCAGTATGGAGTATGATGCAGAATCACTATCCCTGCAAGATTAAATGAAGTATGTAAAACTCCTTGTGTTATTCTTTATTTTTTAAATAAACTACATCTAATCAGTCTTGGGATCATTTGCAGAACTAATAAATCAAAATATGAAATAATTACAGAGACTTACCCAACTACAAGACCAAAAGCAGTCACTACAGTGCCATCACTTGCAGACAACAGATCTCAATTTACCCAAAACTTAAAAAATAATACAAACCACACACATTCCTGAGCGGGTTCAAATAACATCCTGTTCTCATAACCAATTTCCCTAAATATACAATTTAATGTTATTCTCCAACCTTCATGTCTGTCTTACGAGGGTTTGATATCCAAGAGAGGTATTCCCCAGATAATTTTATATGCACTACTGATCTCCCCCATGCCCAGCCCAATGTAAGCCAGTACTAGGTGACCTATATAAATAAATGTTATGAAATATCTTAAACTGCCCTCTTACACAATTATTCTTCAGCCTTTTATCCTGAGCACTTTGTTTCCAAACTCTTAAAACCTACAAAGGAATAGCCAAGGTTTAACACCCACACAAAACAAATTGAAAGATTGTTTGTATTATTTATAATACTGATTAGTAGTGTTTTGCAAAGTAAATAATAGTAATAAACATTCTTAGAACTTATTCTTCTTTTATTTAATTAAGAATATCATTTCTATTTGTCTGATAGCATGCATTTCTAGAACCCGTTAAGTGATGGTACTGCAACTGGGTTTAAATCAAGTAAGTTCCCTAGCAACACCAAGAAGTGATATACACACCTGTAGACCAGTACGTAGCCATTCACATGTGCATGGAGGATGCAAAAATGTATCTAATTCAGATATTACCAAGCCTGGAGGACATGCACTTTTGAGAGCCTCATTTACAGAATATGAGTTAAAATCTGAAATATAGGGTACGTGATGAAATATGGTATTTTTCAGCAATATTATTCAATACTCTTTCCTTCCTCGAATTTCTTAAAAAAAAACTGCCTTCCAACACTAACATACTTATATATCCAACTAAATGACTGACTACACTCTGGAATAGCATTACCTCCTCTTACCAGTTAATTACTTCATTAACAGCGAAGCCTTCACTACTCTGCATCTTAGTTTCCCCCCGGATCGTGTACCTCTCCTATTTATCCGCCTGCCTACCCGTGCTAGTCAGGATGACTCCATAACTTGTTCTCTGTTATCCCCCAGAAAGCTTGCATTGAAAATGGGATGTGGTAGTTGGTGGCTTGAAGTTGCAGTATGTTGACTCTGTCTTTCCTGCTCGTAAAGTGACTCTCCAGTCTGTTGTGTCTGATTGGCTTGATGCCTGCTGTTTGAGGTTAGTTCCTCAGGCCTGGTTGCTACAGCCACATCTTGCCCTTGCTTTATCACAGCTGCTGCCTGTATACGATCCAGCGTCTTGTCGATGGCTCGTAAGCGCTTCTCCAGACTTGTTGTGGCCAATATCTCAACCTGTACATGCATTCCAGGACAAAATAAAATATGACAGGACTAGACAAAATATTCTGGATAGATTTTATGATAAATACCTTGATCTATATACTTACGCTAACATGGACCACAAATTAAAAATGATGTAATTTAGTGTATTGTGGCCAAGTAGCTGCCTATAGCAAGCAGGTAGACACCAAGCTGAATGTGTTAAGGTAACAGTAGGGCAGACACAACAGCTTAGATTAGGCTTGTTAGCAGAAACTGGTTTCCATTACAGGATTTTTAGATTTGTCCACTGTCTGATATTCTGACAAGAACACAACATTGTGGAAACAGGAACTTTCCATCTTCAGGTGAAATGGTGACAAATACCTAGACAGCTGGAACCCTGAATCAGTGGGAATATACAAAGGTAAAGAAAAATAATGCCCACCTTCAGCTCCTGGCTCAAGGGAAGGAAAGCCAGAAGCCACCATGTCCAGACAGGTCCATCAGCCAATGACGGCCAGTCTTCTTCGAGCTCTGGCATCTGACCGAATGCCCTCACTATCTCAGACTGCAGCTCTGCCTCCAAAGAGTTAAACCATTGCCATGCTTTAGGACGAACTCGCTCATGTAAATATTTCAGATCTGTAAAGTGACCAATAAAGCAGATTAAGACATGATGAACTGTTGTATCATTCGTGAGAATAACTGCAAGGCCTGTCAAAAATTTCAAATTTTAGAGTTTTATTTCATTTAGACCTATTAGTATGTTCAGCAACATACATCAGTTCAATATGAAACAGATTTACAGAAGATTAAAACTTAATTGTCTGTAAAAACAATTACAAGAGTAAGAATTCACTAAGTTCAGCTTCCGGACAAAGTTCACTTTAATTTCCATCTCATCAAGAGTACTTTCCTTGTTTGTATTCATATGAAACAATGATTACCACTTACAATTTGCAACACCATTAACAAGGAACATATATATTTACATTAAAATTCTCTTGTAAAATTCACCTGGGAGCTTATCTGCAGGTATAGGCTGATCCCGAAAATATTCCACCTTTGCAGTGTCATAACCATCTCTTTCACCACGTGTCAATACGTGAAATCGGCGGACACCAACAGTCGTAAGAATAGAGCAACCACTGTCAAGAAGAATCCAGTCTCTGATTTCCAACATTGTACCAAACTCAGCATAGCTGTAACAAATCAATATAAAGACTAAACTTCAAGCATATCAACATATGTTTTCATAATTAACTAGCCTTGACACTGATTTATAGCAGAAACAAATCCACTGTTGTGAAGCCATCAACACTACAGATTTACTGCCAAAGTCACTAATTATTTTTCCTCATATTTTGTTCAGTATATACCACATAAACCAATCTTTTCAAATAAAAGTCATAAGTCTTGATGAAATCTATATTGTATGTCAAGTACCAATTTAATATACCATGAGTATTTTTAAAGAAAAAAAGAAATGTTTGATTTGTAAGTATGGATCAACACAAACCAAAATTAAACTCACCAAAAACATTTAAAAAAGTCATATGAGGCTCCTTATCTGTGTTTATTTAACAACACTATCAGTAGTTCAGACTACATGATGTCAAATTACATGATGATCAATTAATAATGTATTGCAAAGGATATTAAAGGTACAAGACTTGAAGCTTTCAATGTGACTGAACTGGATAAAATCTTCTTGGGCAGCAAACTGCGTCAATTCAGAACAAAAGTTTTTGTCCAAAACTGACACAGCTTGTTGCGCAAGATGATTTTATTAATAGTACGTCTAAGAGGATTGATGAAAACCATGCAAAAGCTCTGTCATGATAGCTGGTCTCCAGACTGAGATTTGAACCCAACACTTCCCAGATATGAAGCAAGAGCGCTAACCAGTTGGTTGTAACATTCTGTATTTGTCTGGGGATGCTGAGGAATTTAGTACCAAATTTATCAGCAAGATGTAAAATAATGTTTTTCTCGTAAGGGAGTTTACAACAGCCGTTCTTGCCGCTCTCTGAAATTCAGTGAGGCTTAGACAAGAAATGTAAACAGAATTTTGGTGTGGGAACTATTTTTAAAATGTTGATGCTGGTCTGGGTTTAGATGCCATGAGAACTTGTAGGTGGATATCAACATTGTAGAGAAAGATATTGCCTCCATCCTGAGTGCTGAAATATTGGTACCCACCTACAAGTCCATACAGAATCACAAACTAGAATACCTCCACTGACATCTTCACTGTCAAAACTCTTACTTAGAAATTGTCCACTTGCATGACCAAGGAGATGAGGGGATAACATTATGATGGATCAGGAAAATAATTTATGAGGGTAACAAATGGATGAAATCACCTCAGTATCATGTCCTATGGTGCAACTTTAACATCAGATGTGTTGAAACTGCAGGCTATTTACTATCAAAGGCGTAATTAAACACGCAAGTATTTTTACGTTCAAAAAATCAAAATAATTAGTACACAATTCTTATGTTAAAAAATTAAAAAACACAAACTTACTTACCTTTTGTTTCCAGGATCCTTTGTGAGACAAGCAACAATACCAAACTCACGAGTGCCAGCTTCTGCGCAGTGTCGCATCATAACACGGTAACGAGGTTCATACACATATAGAGGACAGGGGACACCTGGGAACCCTGTGGTGCAAACAAACACTGGCACCTGACCACCCCATAGCTGCACCAACTCTGATAACTCCTGATGATGTGTCACTTGACGAGCCAAGTACTCAGCAGGGAGGAGTAGCCTTAGAGAGTGCTCAATCACCTCTGTTACTGCTTTCTGACTGCTGGACAAGTACTGGAACAAATCAGAAACTGGTAATGCACCTAAAATTTCTTAAAATAAACATGCGATGTGATGGTGTGGACTGGATCCAACTTTCTGAGGACAGAGGCTAATGGTGAGCTCCTGTGAACAAGGCAATGAACTTTTGAGTTTGAAAAAGGCAGTAAAATTTATCCCTAAGGACTCTGCTCAATGGAATAAATTATTTGTAAAGTTGAATAGCTGATTTTATCAGTCGAACAGTTTCCTGAACATGTGACAATTCCTTGGATGCTAAGACTGTTCCGAGAATGAAAGTGTAAATTATTTGTGGACTAATTTTATTTGTAGCTTATTTAAAAACACTGTCAACAGTTAAGAAGATGTAGCATCAGATGATAGGATGATTAGTGAATAATCAACTGGAAAGGATAGAGGAAGAAGTGGCCATGACCTAATTTAGGGTACTATGACACATGGGGCAATGCTTAATTATTTTAATCCAGAGTTATCCCAGTAAGAAATAATAGAAAATAACTAATTAAGAAAAGGGCAACGTCTCCAGTTATGGTCTGTCAGAATTGGGGTGGGAGGAAGTCAATAGCAGTGTCATGAAGAAAATGGCATAATAATTACAGCAGAGACAGAGAAAGACCACGAAATATTCATAACAAAAGCCAATAAGATTCTTAACTTACATCAGCAAGTGAGGTCATACAGAGTGGGCAGGCAAAGCTGTAATCCAGGCAGCGATCCAGACACATCCAGCAATAAGTGTGCCCACAAGGCGTCGTGACTGGCTGCCACAGCGTGCGGCAACACAACACACAGTCAAAATCAGACTGCTCAACAAGATCTGGGTTCACAACCAGATCCTCCAGCTTCACGTCCATTCCTAAAGCAGACATTCGACCCAAGTTTTCTTATTTTGCAAGTTATTTCAGCGCTCTTTTATCTCTTCCATGTGGTGGCACACTCAAATATAGCGGAATATCTAACAGCACACTAAATCTGAAGTTTCACGTGTGTATGCATTCTGTTCATATTACAGTAGACACCCAGCAATTCAGGTTGGTTGGGAAATATAGTTTCCAGACAATCAAAACAACGGATAATCCACAAAAATAAAAGAAACACCCCATATTGACGTGTGCACAGAAGTTTTTAGCAGGGGGAATTCCCAGGCAGCCACGGAACCACATGGGGCAATTAACAGAAGAATCTCAAGTGATGACGTCGTTACCCAGCCGATGCGAACGTCACCAAACCCAGACAACTCTGACAACTGGCATCATTCACTAATGCACGCTGTGTGTACGTTTCTTACTTTATTTAATTTTTTTATATTCTCAGTAATTATAGTAACTGAAAGAAAAGGCTCAGTGCTTGAGATGTTATACTTGCAGACATTTAAGGGGAAAAACAAATGTTTTGCATTAAACACCCTTGTACGTATGATTTTCATAATCTGCGCCATACAAATTATTCTAAGAGAGAATATTTGTTACTCACGTTTTATCTTTTCAACTTCCTGGAAGATGCGTTCTACCAGAGAACGCAGTCTTGTGCTCTCCTGTGGCACTACAGGAGCTGCTGGACCGCCAAGCGATGTCGACGAAAACTTCTGCGGCACCTACGACAAAATGACTTTGAAAACGCTGAGTAACGACTGAATATAAGGAATTCCATGTTTAAGCTCTTACTAAAGTACATATATTTGCATGGAAATAATTCACATTGTATCTCCCCAAATCCCCACTGGGTGGGGCTCGACTACTTCAGTGACCCCAAGAGCTACTGGTAGGGCCTCCCTAGCCAGAATGGTCGAAGGGGAGAGGTCAGACTAAGACAGGTACCCTGGTCCTCCAGGTTGGGGGTTGGTCGCAAGGCAAACAACCTTGCACCGTAAAAAGGAAGATGTTTCGAAACCTCGATCAAAGCCTCGGACAGACGGACCTAACAGAGGACCGAATGGAAGAGGCCATGGACCAAATACGGACCGGAGAGCCATAGAAGAAGAAGATCTCCCCAAATGGTCCATAAAAACTGAATGTGCATACGCATGATCAATTCTCATTGTTATTATATTTGAAGCTTCCACCAAAAATTTGGTCAACTATAATATTCAACCAATTCGTTTTTTAGACAAATGAAGAAGTTTTGTATTGTATTTACAGAACTCTGGTGCTTAGTATGATAATATATGCCCAAAGTGTCCTATTAGCCTAGTGAGAAGGTAAGTGTCCAAAATTTTACATGTCAGTACTTTCATTACCCAATGACTAATAATAACCAATCCAAATAAGAAGTTTTCTATATACAGGACAATCTTGATAACATACATATGAAAAATGCTGCAAGATTGTTTGTTCTAAGGCAGTGGTATTCAACCTGGGGTACGTGAAATTAAAAAAAATTATTTTATGATAAACAATGAATAATCAGGGTCAGATTTAGGGTTAGCCACAGGAGAACCGGATGTAAGGGCACTCGATTTGGGAGATTATATACTATGTATAACTTGAATTATATACCAACAAATTTGGGGGTACAAAGTTAAAGAGAAATTATATCTGGGAGTACGCGAACAAAAAAGGTTGAATACCACTGGTCTAAGGTAAATATTTATTAATATATGTGCGCCCATAAAATGAAGATCAACGAGATTAATATAAATGTCAAAAATTAATCTTGTAAGAACTAATGTTTGATACATCAACACAAAATTGTTAGTTTCAATTCCCACACATCTCCACTGAAGGCAAGTTCTGTGTTAAAAAAATTAAACAACAAAATTTCTTAAAGGGAAAAGCCTGGTTGCCATATAAATGGCATCTAACATAAAGTTCCCATATGCCATTTGTAAAATAATTCTTTTCCCCTTACAAAAAGGTCATAAGAAATTCATCCTTAAAAGGTTAACGCAGACACACCGAGCCAGTATCTGACTTTCATGAGGCCTTTAGTGTGATATTATACTTTCAAAATAACAAACTGAGATATTGTAAATTTCAAGAAGAAACTTGTCAGCCAGGGAGAAGAATTTTGTTTAGTAGGTAGATGGAGATATTATTCAGTCCTAAATCTTTTATGCTTAAGTACTCTTCCCTCCACTTTCGCGACATATTTAATTATAACATATCTGTAATTGGGATCAAACCAAAGTTTATACTCTTCGTTTTGCTGTTCCCTTCAATTTTTTTGTAGTGTTCTGTCTGACGACAGGTCCATATGAACAGGATCCTTCCATCCTTTTCTCGGACTGGGACCTGTTCATATACGTTCTTGGCAGATGATCCAGAAGTGGTTTGCCATTGCCTTCTTCTGTGTGTGAATGGAGTAATTGTTGGGATGCCACGGAGGAAAACTCCGTGTTGCCTAGACCACGGCCTTGCCCAACACAAGTTATAAATTCGGGCACCGCCGGGAATCGAACCCGAGACCCCAGGATTACAAGGCCAGCGTTCTAACCGCTAAACAAATATAACTTGCAGCCTTTGAAGTAAATCATTCTCACTCATAATGTTAATAACACAAATTAAGTAAAAGAAACATTTAATAAGTTACAGAACCTGTAAGAAATCCTCCTCGCCACTGAAACTGTCTTCACAGTCACTACAATTGAGAGCTGGATAGGACGCGGCAAGGAAGCGTGGACGCCTGCCATGCAGAGAGTATGGAGCCAGCACACCGAGAGAGTTGCAGCGAGCTCGGTACCCAGCCGGGGCGCCCGCCAGAAAACGGTGCAGAGCGTGTGTCATTTCATGACGCACAGCTCCCATGTCATGATCGAGTGCCACAGAGACTGAGAAAGAGAGTATAGCATCTTCGTATCTGCCAAGACCTGTCAGCGCCATTCCACGGCAGTAGTAACCCTGCATAAAAATAAAGTAGTGCCAACACTGTCACTAAAATATGAAGCTGTCCCACTTAAATTTCCATTACTTCCTAATTTTTTAGTTAACAAATTATTTTGATTTATTTTTGTTACCTATAAAAAAGGTACAATCACAACAATATTATTTCACTATCATTCCACACTCCTGTGGCAAAGTTAAAATTAGACCTGTCTAACTTCCATAATTAACTCACCTTTCCCCATGTCGGACATAACCTCACAACAGTTTCAGCGTCTTCAAGAGCAGCCTGGAATCGATTCAGTTGGAAAAGTGCATGTGAGCGGTTGCTAAGTAGCAGGTGGTTGTTTGGAGCTGAAAAAGGACAAACACTATTAATTTTCTGATATAGATAGATGTTCAATATTAAATTTCGTTTAAAACTGTCTGGGAGGTCTCAATAGTGACTCTCTGGCCAGACATAACTTCAGCCCCTTTCACAATCATTCAATTAGACATGAAGAATCATCTCACTAACAAAAATATCTAACGGTCTCGTTAAGCGTAAACCAGTTAAACAAAACACGACACAGTGAAAGGTTCTTTTTAACTGAGTCATAATGAGCGCGTGACCTAACTTCGTAACATAAAAGGACTACGTTGTTTGAATTCATTTCTGAACTCGCTTCTCATCGCAGTTAGCGATCGTACGTAACTAGTGCACACCGCTGCTTACACAACACGGTGAATCAAAGTGGTCAATCCTGCCTGACGTCAGACAAGATACGTCTAACATTTAGACTGTGAATCCCTGTTGGATCACATCGAGCTTTACGTAACACATTTCCTGTTCTACCCCTACACAGACTGTTTTCCATTTGGAGAGCTATCTCATTTGAATACATCGTTAATCACGAACCTGTCTCTACCACCCCACCCCCCCCATCACTGTTCATTTCCATTACGCTTTTAAAACTACCACACTACTCCCCCCGTAACCTACTTTCTTATTCAGTTCACTGAGAGTAGAGAGAGGACGGGATAAACAGGACTTGTAGCACGAATGTGAGATATGAGAAATGCACACAAACATTTTATCGGAGACATCATTTAGGACAACATAAATAGGGGTGAAAAGAGATTAAATGAATCGAACCTGCTCGGGATTGGGGTGTAACAGCGAGTTTTATGAAAACGGCATTGAACATTTAGGTTACATAATATTGGGAAATATCTTGAACAGCTGATTGGTCCGTTGGTTTGCCTATCTACATCCTAAACGCAGCCATGACAGAGAAAACGTAGGGCGTAGAACGGAACATACTGGCAAGTTTTTATCAATATGGACTATATTGCCACAAACTCTTCAAAAACATGTGGAACCACTTACCTCACCTAATATTTTGCCATACAGGCTTATACAGTACTTACTACAGTAGTCTGAATCGTCAACTTTCACTTTGCAATTCCTGCAGATATTAGCCAATAATCATGATCCGTTGAGAAATACGCACGACCTAATGTAGTATCGACTACGACACAAAAATCACGAATTAACTTAACTTTAATGAAACAGCTGTTTGATTATATAAAATAATTCCAAGACACTCGAATTTTCAATGGAGTAGCGAGTGGAGATTCAAAACTGAATCTAAAATATTCAAAGACTGCACTATTTCGAATTATTTTGTAATAGAAAAGGAACCAAACTGTAACCGCGTTCCACAATACGTCATAATGAGCTGTCCAGCCGCTAGGGACCCACAAATAACAGCCGCGCGCGAAAACACTCGACACGTCGCACGCGGCTAGTCGCCGCCAGTGGGTCACGGTTTAACTCGTTCTTCTCCACTGAATGCAGCCAAGGCGTCGCATAAAAGCTAACTCAGCGGTAGCAGTGTGTATAATACATAACGGACCGTCCCGCCTTCGAGCACGACGACAATGGCTTCATTACAGTGATTACTTTCGTGAACAGCTGGTTTAATGACCACAGACGGTAAAAGGGTACGACATGTGACCTGTTCTGCAACGTAAAATCAATAATGACGACGACAACAGCGGCTGTAGACTTCATCAGCGCGTTCTGTAGTGATTTTTAGGTTCATGAAGAAGAGGATGATGTCTGCATTTCGTAAAGAATGACGTAAATTCAAGTACGTTAACCCTTTCGATGCTAAATTATTTAGTAATATTAATCCTGTTTCAGTTTTGATTTTTTCTATTATTTTTTAAACTTCGCTCTGTCGGAGAGCTAGGCATGATAACGAAAAGTTTATAGTAAGATTTGAGGTTTTCACGGCGGTGAGTATGAGGATTTCTGTCTTTTGGATTGTTGAGCCGTGTAAGTCTGGCCTCGCCTTGATGATGGAGGCAGCAAAGACCTCTGAAACGTCGGTAAACTTCTACCAGACTACACGGTGCAACAATCCAGAAGGTAGCCATCTTCACGAAAAGTTTACTTTCATAATGTCGCACTTATAAAAAAACTGTCAGAACAGAAGAGTCCTGTCTCGAGTTATCTCGTATCTTGCAGCGTGGAACTTTATGTCACTCGGAGTTTAAAAGTAGTAACAAATATTTAGCGAGAAGCGAGAGTGACATTTTATCCCGATAACAATCAACTTGCTTACGCTGTTTTGTTCGACATGGATTTAAAAAAAAAACACATGATCATCACGTGGCTTCTCTGATATCTTAAACTTGAAATGAGCTCATTCTGGACACTTCACCGTGCGATGTACTAATGAATGAACTGCGGTCATATCAACTGTTACAAACTGTTAATTGCATAACGTCATTACCCAACTACTTTACACAAAAATCTCTCTCCTCGGTTAAATACAAGGCTTGATCACTCAGTCAACTACATAAAAACCTTTTCTCTAATCCTTTGTTCTGCACGCACAAAAAAAATCGGCTTGTTTATGATCTCTTTCTTAAAAAAAACTTTTTATTTAATTATGAATAGACAACAGCTTATCTGACAGCTGAGTTTATAAGACGTTCTAATCCATGAAATTCAGTTGTCACAAAAGAGAACAAAGATTACAAAATATGTGGCAAGACCTTCTAACGCCTTCCTTCCTTGAAACGTTTCAGCCCATCGTAAATAACATTTAAACAATCGATTCCTTCCTCAAAATCACACCCAACCTCTATTACATAGACCAGCCAGTAATAACATGTACGGAAACAAATGCAGTTTATTATGAGAACCGAACGAAAATGTTTGTTTTAAAGAGTTCATGTGCCAATAGCGAGGAGACGAGAAACCTGGCTTATCGCATGTCAATGGATTCTGACAACGTCCGTCTTCCAGCGTCTCACCGTATCGGTCAAGTGACGTCACCAGAATCATTTCACTTCTACTGCAGAGTGCTCGAATCTGTCAGATTTTTCTTTTAGTGACACTTTGAACAATGCGATTACCTTCATGGAGCAGAGATCTTCCTGGGAAGTTAGCAACGCTACCAGCTAATCAAGAAACTTCTCACCTTTTATGATACACAAAGACTCATTAACGTGTTCACAACAACCCGCGACCCGCTCCTATCCTGAGCCAGATAAACCCAATCCACACCCTTGCAACCCCGTTCCGTCAGGTCTATTTTAACTTTTATCCTCCCATCTACGTCAGGATTTCCAACTATCTTCCGAGTTCGCGAAACATGCCCGTCCCATTTAAGCTTCCTCGATTTCATCACATTAACTGGCCTATTCTTTTAAATAGAACTTAAATTATTAAACTCCGCACTGTGCAGTTTTCGCCATTATCCTGCCACTTTATCCATCTTCGATCCAAATAATCCAAGTTCGAGCGCCCATGTAACATTTTACAAGATAATAGGGTTTTTTCCGGAAACCAACTGTCACCCTCCTGTCCAGCTGCCAAGATGGAAGACCGCCCTTTGTCGGGTGTCAGCTACTATTTATTATTATTTATTTTAGTGTTCTGTCTGACGACAGGTCCATATGAACAGGATCCTTGCATCCTTTTCTCGGACTGGGACCTGTTCATATACGTTCTTGGCAGATGATCCAGAAGTGGTTTGCCATTGCCTTCTTCTGTGTGTGAATGGAGTAATTGTTGGGATGCCACGGAGGAAACGGGGAAGCCCCCGGAGGAAATCTCCGTGTTGCCTAGACCACGGCCTTGCCCAACACAAGTTATAAATTCAGGCACCGCCGGGAATCGAACCCGAGACCCCATGATTACAAGGCCACTCAAAATGTTTTCATCTATCCTCTACTTGTGAAAACCAGACAGTGCGCCACGTCGTTAACATAAAACTTTCAGGTCCGGATTCACAATTTTGGAGGCCCCTGTCAGTAAGTTAATTGAAATTACTTAAATAAACAATTATTAAGTTTAATAAATATCACGTGATCGGTGACTAAAGTTATGACACACCGCAATGCAGTATCAGACGTTCTTACATTTTTCCTTTATAATTCCTGAACGTCTTCAACGTTATATTTAATAAAAACAAATTCTGAAACATAACGTCAAAGACTCACTTCAGGCTCGCCGGTCGTACTTTGGACATTTCTGCTCTAGACTCGACTGTTTCAACTGTGAAGAAATAGACACACATCAGGCCACTTTTTCAGGGTCTGGACTGGAACCACACATGAATCAGACCAATTTTTCTCGGCCAATGAACTGGTAAAGAAACCGGTTGCTTCAGAGGCAGTACCATGCATACTCGACACGCTTTATAGCCCAAATAGCAGAAAAGAATTCTTCAGTACGGTACGGCATTACGCTGAGCGTGGGAATTGAATACTCCAAAGCCAAATCAAGAGATATATCACCAATTATAGTTTTAATTACTAGGTATGGATAATTAAAATGTCCGTTTTAATAGCAGTCAGTCAAATACACCGTAATAATCTGGAAGCACTGACTAGAAATTTTTAAAAGCCTAAATATTTATAATTTCTGTGAAAATGTCCGGCAATTAGCGTCATGTCACAGCACATTTAAATACGGGGGTGAAATTATGCAACACACTTGGTTTCGAACACTTTCGTAACGATCATAAATTCTGAACAGAAACGAAAAATGCAGATGGCACTAAATCTTACAAAATAAATAGTAAAGTTCGTTGAAAGTCCGAAGATCACATCGTACGCCGCCTAGAATAGTCATAACTCGAATAATGAGATTTTTACAGTTACTACCGCTGAGTCGTCATTAAATGAACTCTCTTTAATCCTATAACGCTAACATCGTTTAGCTATCATAAGAATTGCAACAACGCTCTTGTATCGTTATTCCACAAGTGCAAAATCCGCTCATAAACTGTATGGCACATTTTCGTCGTGTTTATCTTAGCAGTGTTAGCCGTGAAAGCGCAGCTGACACGAGT